GAGGAGAAGGGGATGGCAGAGGATGAGATGGTTGGATGGCATCACCAACTCAATGAACTTGAGCTTGGGCACTCTCTGGGAGATGGTGAAGGACAGGGAAGCCTGGCATGCTTCAGTTCATGGGGTTGCAAAGAGTTGGACATGACTAAGCTATTTTTATTGATTAATAAGAGTGCACAAATTTGCCATTTGCTTTTAGGAGGTGTATCTTGACATGTTTGAGACCTCTGATACCACAGAAAGATCACCAGTATGACTTTTGGAGATATATGACTTAGAATTTGGAGAGATATTTCCATATATGTGTCACATAAGTCTTGGGATAGTTGCTACTTCCTCTTCACCTGGTTGTGTCAACACATGATATCATCAGGAAAACATACCAATGTGATATCTTATAGAACAGAGAGGTGATCAAGTTTCCTGGTTACTAGAATATGACAAAGGTTTAGAAGGTTGATGTGCATTGCTGAGTATATTGCTTGTCCTAAGACCTGAAAGTAAACTGCCCCTGATGAATTTTCATATCAATAAAAAAAAAAAAAAATTCCAGATCCACAACTGCATACCATGTTCCAGGACATTTATTGTTTCATTCAAGCAACAAACAGCCACAACAAAAACAATAAAAATCACATGGATCAATAATTGTAGTCATAGTCAGCACCTGATTAAATGTACAATAATCCATTCACATTCTGCATTATTTTTAGACTTATAACCAAATTTGACTTCCAGCAAATAAGTTAAAAAGTGTTATTCATGAAAAGATGCAATATGCCCTAATTTTGCCAATTTATACCAACAGAACCCTGGAGAACATGTATCAGGCCTGATTTGAAACCTATTAGATCTAGGTGGCAGCAATATAATTGAGAGTAAACTAAAGGTGTTTATTAGAATGCTCCAAAATAAGATTCTGAATGTTTTTGAGTCACTAAAAATGGTTCCAATAGGGGAAAACCCAGAGAGCAAAGCAGACACACTACCTGAATTAGAAGGACCTGTGGTGTAAAGGTGGGGCCAGGGATGAAGAGGCAATTTCCTGCCACCTGCTCAGGGAGGCCCTCACTTGAGGCCGCACCCAGCAGGACCAGCAGAGACACTGGTGCCTCCTGGAGCCTGGGAACCCAGACCAGTACTGGCCCTCGAACAGCAGAGCCTGTAGTCCCTCGGCTGGGTACCCATGTCCCAGCTGCACTTGGAGAAGAGTGCAGATTCATCTGAGTGTATCACTGCTCCCGTGCACGGAGGCTCTTACTGACTTGGTTTAAAGAAGCTGATTCTTCCAAGCTGCAATTCAACACCACCACTGAAGACACCATAATGGAGAAGCTGTCCTTCAGGATGCTTCTGGGAAAGGAAAGATGCTGTGTTGTCTTAGCAGATGGATTCTACAAGTGGCAGCAATGTCAGGGAACACCCAGAGGCAGCCTTACTTCTTCTTGTTCCCCCAAATCAAAACAGAAAAGTCAGAGAGAGTGAGTGCTGTAGACAGCTCTGAGGACTAGGAGGAAGTCTGGGACAATTGGAGGACGCGAAAGATGGCCAGGATCTTCGACTGCTGGGTGCCCCCAGAGGGAAGGGACAGCCTGTGGTTCCAACACCATTATCACAGGAGATTCCTTCAAAGGTCTAAATGGCATCCCCTAACACGATGCCTGCCACACTATATGGACAGGAGGCAGTCTCAAAGTGACTGGACTTTGGTAAGAATTTGGGTTCTTTGGTAAGCTCACAGAAGTTCTGAAGTTGACTCACACTCCAGAGGACACTACCATCCACCGTGGTGAATAACTCCTGAAAGTACACTCCTGACTGTCTGCTTCCTGTCAACTTACTGCTCAAAAAGGAGATCAAGGCAAGTGACAGAAGCCAGAAGAGGTTACAGTGGCTGGCCACAAAGTCAGAGTCGGATGTGCCCCAGGTGTCCAGGCAGTTCCTGCAAAAGAGTCTATTCCCCTCCAAGGGAGGCTTCTGGAGTTATGGCTGAAGTGGGAGGAGGAGGAGCCTTTTGGCAAGCAGCCTCACACCCTTCCAGAGACCAAGCACTTCCAGAGACCAAGGCCAAAGTATGCAGCGCAGAATTCCATCGTGATAGCAGGTTCCAGCCTTGTGTGTGTGAGTCGGGGCAGGGGGATATTGCTTGGGAAACAAAGTGTTAGTTAACACTTCTGGCTTCTCCAGGGAAGGGCTATCCTGATTGGGACCAAGAATCCCTAGTGGGGTGGGTGGGCAGCCAGGAAGAGGAAGGGCACCACCATCAATTCATGGTGGGAGGGGAGGGGCTCTTGTGCCCACAGCCTTCTCCTGGTAGGACTGGTGGACCTTCCCTCAGAGCCTGACCCCACTGACCTCCGCCTGACTTGACCTGACCTGGGGCTGCTAGCAGAGGCTGTTTTCTGCTCAGCCTTTGGACTCTTTTAGTCTTTTGGAATTAAGGTCTTAAAACATATTTTTCCCTTGAATAAACTATACTTGATAAACTGTCTACATTTCAGAAAATGCTGCTGGTGGAAGGAATTCCAGATCTCACAGTTNGCCTGACTTGACCTGACCTGGGGCTGCTAGCAGAGGCTGTTTTCTGCTCAGCCTTTGGACTCTTTTAGTCTTTTGGAATTAAGGTCTTAAAACATATTTTTCCCTTGAATAAACTATACTTGATAAACTGTCTACATTTCAGAAAATGCTGCTGGTGGAAGGAATTCCAGATCTCACAGTTGTTTTTCTGGCATCAGACCTAGGGAGTGATTGTGTCATTAATGCGGGGCACTGGAGTTTTCTGTGGAAAAAAACTGCATTTTTGGAAACAATAAAAAGGCTTGGTTGGGGGGAGGGGAATGGCTCCAATTTGCTTGGTTAATTGACTAAAAGATGGATCTAAAGGACACATATACTGAATGAATTTGAAATTCAAGAGGAAGGCACCCCAAAGCTTAGAGAGACTGTGATGGTCATGTGAATTTATGTAAGAGTTTCTCAGCTATACCCTGACTACATCCCCTCAGAAGCTTCAAAGACATGTCCTTCACCAAGGCCAAGAGAAACGCATTTGTGAGGGAAAACCAATATTCTCTTTTTTTTAACTTTTTTTTATTTTAATGTGGACCATTTTTAAAGGATTGAATTGGTTGCAATATTGCTTCTATTTTATGTTTTGATTTTGGCTCCAAGGCATTTGGTATCTTAGCTCCCCAAACAGTGATTGAATCCACATCTCCTGCATTGGATGGTAAAGGTGAAGTCTTACCCACTGGACTGCCAGGAAGTCCCAGAAACCCAGCGTTCTTAAAACAGCTTCATTAAGGCTATTCTCTATAGGCTAAAAATAACAGTGGGACCAATTGCCATTAAGTTGGGCAATGTGTGTTCAGTGAGAATAATATGATCATGATGAAACAGACCAGAGCCTTATGGCCTACTCCCCCTTGTCCTCTGATGCCTTTTGTCTGCAGAAAAGTTTTAGCCAAAAAGGTTAAGTTTAATCAAAGAAGTGAGAAAAAGCAGAAGCAAAGGGAAAAAAAGTCAAACAGGACAAAATAATAATAGTTTGGTCATTAAGCAAAGTCAAGGACTTTTAGTTCCTCCTGAAGGGTGATAGATAATTCTGAACCATATCCTGTGAGCCGTTTTGTAGATATGGAAACCCCAAACAAGTGGAAGAAGTTCACTACATCATGACCAGACTGTAGCTATGACATAAGCTGCCACAATTCTGAGAAATGGTCTCAAAGAAATAGGAACAAACCAACCCTGGAACTGAAAACTAATTATACCTTCAACAGTCAAGATGATGCTAATCAGACCACCTCATGACCAATTTTGAGATGACTGTCGGAGCTAGTTGTACTAGCCTCCCTCTGCCTATACATCCTTGTATCTCTCCTTTAAAGGTCTTGCCCACTGACTGACAGTGGGGGGAGTTGGTATTTGGACATGATTCCACCCACCACAGCCCTTTGCCATTGCTAGCCTCCAAACTAAAGCAAACTTTGCTTTTCACAAACCTTGCCTCTTTGTTGACTTTAGAGTGGTGAGCAGCTGGACCCACTTCTGGTAACAACGTGTTGGTAAATGCTGATTCAGGTCAGAATTCTGTTTACTCTTGCTTGTAGAGACCAAATAAAATTTGACTGGACTGCCTATCATTTTTTTTGCTTTAAGGACAAAATCATCAGCTAACCAGTGCCAAAGATCTCTATGGATCAAACCATTCTGATTATGGCTTTGACTCAGCTTCCCATCATGGTAGCCATTCCCACTTATCCTCTAGACTGAAGACAGGAAAAAAAAAAAAAAATCTCACTTAAAAATAATGTTTGTTGCCAGGTACTATAAAAAAAATTAGTTTGATACTAACTCAGAATAAAATGCTAAACAGGTACTATAGAAAAAATGAACAAACAAACTTAAAGGTCAAAAGAGAAAACCGGTGATTTCTGGTAGCTAATCTAGGTTCATTACTAGTAATCCATACAAAAGTGGCCTCATTTGTCCCTGAAATGAGATTATTAAATGAGAAAAAAGTTATATATATTGTATATATTTGATCATAAACTTCATGTAAATAAATAGTATAATAAAGAATACCTGGATTTCATTAATAAACAGTACATTGGCAAATGGAGAACATTCTTTTATTGGTCAACCTATATTTGAACTGCCATGTCAGTGTTGAATGTAATATTTTATTTGCTTACTATTTTTATTTTTTATATTTATTACTTATTTACTTGGAGGTATCAGCTCTTAGCTGCAGCACATGGGATCTTTATTTCTTTTTTATTGAAGGATAATTGCTTTACAGTGTTGTGTTGGCTTCTGCCATGTATCAACATGAGTCAGCCATAGGTATACATGTGTCTGCTCCCTCTTGAAACTTCCTCTCACCTCATACCCTATTCCACCCCTCTAGGCTGTCACAGGGCACCAGGTTGAGTTCCCTGTGTCATGCAGTAACTCCCCATTAGCTATCTATTTTACATATGGTACTGTATATATTTCAATGCTACTCTTGGGACAGACAGGGTCTTTGTTGCATCATGTGGAATCTTTTGATTCCACGCAGGCTCAGTTGTTATGGCATGCAGTCTTAGTTACCCTGTGGTTTGTGGGATCTTAGTTTCCCAACCAGGGATTGAACCCAAGACCCCTCCATTGTCAGGCAGATTCTTAACCACTGGACCACCAGGAAAGTCCCAAAATACAATATCTCAAAACAAATGTTAACCAAACATAATTGTTTACAAACAAGAGAGGAATTCAATAAGGGCTTTGGATAATCCAACACATGAAGAACAGTTGTGGTAACTAGAGGGTTTTGTGTCAAAAAGCAAAAGTAAAACTACTTTGTTGGGACAGCACCAGTTAGCTGCCTTTATTTGAAGTGTTGCCATATGAAATAGGAAACTGATTTACTTGGGATAACTTCAAAGGAAGATCAAGGACCAAATAGGTAAATTTCCAGAGGGGAAGATTTGTATATAATACATAGAAACATCTTCAACTCAATACAGTCACTTGGCAGTAGAATGTGCTGCTGTGGGAAGCAATGGACTTTCTGTCTGGCAACGCCTTTGCATAAGCTGAGTCTGCTTCTGCTGTGTGTTTCAGTTGAGTACATTCCTGCAATAGGTAGGAAACTAGATGACCTTTAGGTCCCTTCTAATCTCAGTTTCAATAATTCCATAAAGAGTGAGCAGGGAATCTAAAAGGAAGGAAAAGCAGTTTCTGAGATGTGGTAGTCATTGTGGACAGGGTATGAGACAAGGTGGTGATTCAGATAAATTGATCTCAACATATTCTCTATCCATAATGTAGCATCATGATTTCTCATATCTACTTGAAACATGAGAGCTAATTAATTGGACATTTTGTTTTCTCACCTCAAATTAGGATACATCTGCTTAAAGGACAACTGTGATACACTGATTTAGATGATATGCCTTTCCCTGGGTATGGGGATATGTGGAAAGAGCAGTGGCTAGGAGCAGGAAACTGGAAGTTTTAGAGTTTAATCCCAGGATTTCTCCAAACTCACCATCAGCTTTCTGAGCAATTTCTTTCAAATTCCATTTAGCTTTCACTGAAAAGGAGATTTGTGAGATGTTTCCTAAAACCTTTTAAAAACTGAGTGTAAGATAGCTCTTCAGATACAAGATCTAGGCTCAGAAGCAACCTGATGACTTCGCCTCTCATATTTCACATGGCAGGCCTGAAATGAAATAGAGCTAACTTTTTTTTTTTTTTTGGTCTTGACTTTTGAGGCTAAAGGGAGGATTTTGGAGAAGATATCATAATTCATCCCTGTGACTATAGAATTATCTGAAGAAGTGGCTACACTGGAGTGGAGTAAGGTAAGAATTGATCAAATCTCAGTCACTCCCGAGGCCTTAAACTGAGTTTTTTGTTAGCGTCTGCGGATGCAATGTCTGCAGAGAATCAGGAGGCCTGGCCCCCCGACTGCCTTCAGAGCACGTTGTGGGAGGTGCAGACCAAAGGTGAGTTTACACATCAGTGACTAAAGTTTCCTGCCACTAAGCATAAGAAGTCACTCATGAGCAGCGTCCCTAAACCACAGCTACAGGATGTGGGCACAAGGCCTTGTATAATTGTTGGCCGAGAGCCAATGAGCATTCATCCCTGTGCAAATACTTGGGCTCTTTTGTCGTTGTTAACCTTTGAAAACCACAGGCATGAGTCTCTCTCTTTCTTCCCCTTTGGCACAAGTCATCTTCTCTTCTCCACCTTGGTCTCTTGTGTGTAAAGAATTTCTGGGGGAGCTTTTAAGCCTGAATTTAATACGTTTGCCCTCCCCTCTCTTGCCCCACAAAATGCCAGGCAGAGGTAAAGCTGCCTTACAAAATATCTGCTGGCTTCCGCAGCTTTGTTTGGGCTTTTTAATCAGATAGGACATCAGAGAGCTCCAGGAGTGACCTTAGCCTTTTAAGAAAATACAACTAATATCTGGAAATTCCCCCTAAACAACGGTGACCTATTGTTTTCTCATGTCAGAATTAACTCAGAAGGTATGAGACACTGATTTAGATGACATACCTTTTTCTGGGAATGGAGATATGCAGAAGGACAGTGGGGCTGGAATCGGAGACTGAAAGCTTTAGAGTTTAATTCCATATTGCCATAAAGTCACCATCTGTTTTTGAGCAATTTATTTCCAATTTCTAGGCTTTTGCTTCATGTTCTGTGAACTGAAAGCATTGGATTAGATGGTTTCTATGCTTCCTTAACCCCGGAACTCTATGAATTGGCTTCCTTAGTAATGCTTCAGCAAAGGGACAATGAGAAGAGGGCTCAAAGCAAAAGATCCTCATAAATTGGCTTCTCTTTTCTGCCTTAGAGATGGCCAAGGGTCAGCCTCCAAAAAAGCCCAAGTGCCCACTGGAATCCCAGGTGTGATTCTTGGCAGTTTCTCTTTTTGTAAGTGTTAAAGAATGCATCAGTTTTGCTTCTATAACCCCAGTTCTCCATACTCAGGTATGGAAACAGGTTAAGTCTACTCCAGCATGGGAATTTTATTTTTAAATAAAAGAGATGGCAGATCTCTTTTACTTAAAAGAGACAGAAGGAGAAATTTCTAACCATCAAAACTGCCCAAGATATATCAGAAGACGATGAGCAATCTGCCTATTGTTCAAATAGTTTCTGAATCTCCATTCAGATTTACTGGAGATTTTTTGGTGGAATTTCTTGAATGGATAAAGAACAGACAGAGAAGATGGCCAACCATGACATTTTTATGATGATATGCTTTATACTTAATGCCCCTTGTATCTAATCTTATTCCTATGTTGTCCCTTTGGGAAACTTTACTGGTATAGTTCAGATAACAGCCTGAAGGAAAAGCCCAGGGATACATATAGGTCTCTTGGTTTGTGGGTTGTGGCTGGTTGTCCAGCTTATGGACAAGAAACCCGACTGTCCCTTGGGAATACCACATGGCAAATGGTAAAGAGATAGTAAGTTCATGCATGAGTGTGTGCTAAGTCACTTCAGTAGTGTCTGATTCTTATGACTCTTTGGACTGTAGTGTACCAGAGTCCTCTGTCCATGGGATTCGCCAGGCAAGAATACCGGACTGGATTGCCATGCCCTCCTCCAGGCGATCTTCCCCACCCAGAGATCGAACCCACATGTCTTATGTCTCCTGCATTGACAGGTGTGTTCTTCACCATTAGCGCCACGTAGGAAGCCCCAGCAGGCCCATAGTGACCGGAAAAACAATTCCCAGAAGAACTGAATTTAGTTCCCTTGGATGTTGTCTGAGGTTCTGCACCAAAGTGGCATTGCTTTACAGGCAGATACTCAATGATTTTTATTTAATAAAATAATTTGACTTCATTTCATTAAATCCTTCCAAGATCTTTATGAAGTAGGCAAAAGAGATAGCATCATCTCCATTTTACAGGTGAGGAAATTAAACCTTAGGAAAATTAAGGTAATTTTCCAGGGTCTCACATGACTGATTCAACTCTTTCCAGAGAAAAAAGGGTGTTTTACCTAACGACTGGGGCTTCCCTGGTGGCCTAGATGGTAAAGAATCTGCCTGCAATACAGGAGACATTGGTTTGATCCTTGGATTGGAAAGATTCCCTGGAGAAGGGAATAGCTACCCACTCCAGTATTCTTGACTGGAGAATTCCATGGACAGAAGAGCCTGGCAGGCTACAGTCCAGAGAGTTACAGAGTCAGATGTGACTGAGCAACTAACACTACTTAATGATTAACAACAATTATTTAAAGAATTATAAGGTCTCTGGTTTTAAAAGATTTTATCAATCATCTCTTTAGCAATCCCTTTCACTTTAGTCCCTCCTAGTACATGTCAAAGAACAATGCTTCCATCCTTGGGCATTTTTAAGTATAAGAAGTTCTTTCTTATCTTAAACTGCCATCCAAATCCCTGAATCCTCTTATCCTCTGGTCATAATCCTGCTTCCTAGGTCCCACTTATCAGTTTCTAGAATATCCCACAAGATGGTCTGTATGAAATATGAAGACAGCTCTCATGTCATCTCTGAGATCACTCTTCTCACACTAAACAGCTTTGGTACCCTATTGTTATAGACTGGACCTCAGGGTTAAGAGACATCACCCTGCTCTCATCTTTTCTGATTTGCACTACATCCTTTCAAAGGTCATTTGGGAACAGTCCAACTTAGAAAATTCAAAGGGAATGAATGTGCAGAAAGAAGTCAATTGTCAGACTGATCCTTAAATGGTAAATAAAGAGAATGTGCTGGACCTTTCATAGACTCTGCCAGCAAATGCCACTATCTTGAGGCAAATGGGGATTTTCTGGCAGCACTGTTAGTAATAATTTGCCAATTGTGCCTGCTTCAGAACCACTGCCAAAGCAATCCAACGACTTTTCATTCCACTACTGTTGACAGGACAGCTAAGGATTTCAACATTTCCTTTTACAGTCTGAATAGAAGTTTCCTGCCTTGGGGACTGTAACAATATTTGCCATCATGAGGGGAAAAAAAAAATGTGGGTCCTGGGAAGTGGAAAGAGAGGGAGAGATGTACTAATGGAAGTAAACGAAGATAAAGACAAAATCAAACGAGAGTTACTCAAGGTTTGGATTTTGAATGTCTCCATCAAATTGATGTTTGTGAAACATCAGAGGACGAATCTTTGCAATTGAGGAAGTAAGCAGGTTGAAGAAAAGACTTTAAAGTTAGGCTTCACATAAACATCCTCTCCCCCCAAAAAGCTGGAATTTTTAAACTGAATACCAGCCAAGGTATCTCAACTTTGGGTCTTAGGACAGACAAAAAGCTGATTATGTTAATAATAATGTTTATAGAGTTCAGCATTAAAAGTCTTTTTTTGAAAATAATTTAAAAATACAATAAAATTGAAAAAAAACTTTAGAGATGAAAACAGATGAGATAATCTCCTGAGTTGTTTACAATTAGACATAAGTCAAGGAGAGACAAAGAGGAAATACAAGAGAAAAGAAAATGTAAACAGAATGAATTACAACAGTGTTTTTGATAAACATGCTTCTTATCCCCTCTAGAATCCATAGACATTCCACAGAGGGCACTTGTAAGACCCAAAAGACAGGGCACTTGTAAGACCCACTGACCTGTGGCATTCCCCTCTCTGTCTCAACCACAGTGGTCTTACTTCTTCCTGTTTTACATATTGGGCATCTGAAACAGATTCATTAGAAGGAAAGATCTGCTATTGAAAAATAAAACATATGAACAAGCAATCAAAAAGGAAAAAAAAACAGCAAAAAGGAAACGAGTCACTGAAACTTCTTGATCAGGGAACTATATGATCAAATTGTGCTTTTGGAATCTGGCAACAAATGCAAAATGAATTAGAAGATGCTCAGCCTTGGAAATGATACCAACTAAAAGGTTATAGCAATTATCCACCTAAACAGAATTTAAAATGTGATCTAATAATATACCTGCGAGAATGAAAAGGAGAAGAAGTATATGAAAAATTTTGAAACAATAAACTTTAGTTTGACATCTGGGTGTTGGGCTTAATACTAAATATGGTCTGTTTGTGCCATCCCCCTAAATTTATATGTTGAAATCCCAATGTGATGCTATTAAGAGTTGGGGCCTTAGCTTATAAGAGCAGAGCCCACATGAATGAGATTCTGTTGTTGATGTTCATTCGCTTAGTCATGTTCAACTCTTAAACCCCACGAACTGCAGCACACCAGGCTCCCCTGTCCTTCACTATTTCCTAGGGTTTGCTCAGATTCATGTCCATTGAGTCAACCATCACATCCTCTGCCGACCCCTTCTCCTTTTGCCTTCAACCTTTCCCAGCATTAGGATTATTGCCCTTATAAAAGAAGCACAAGAGAACTCTCTTGCCTCTTTGCCTAAAAGGATATAGCAAGAAATCTGAACCCTAGGAAAGGGCCCACACCTGACCAGCTTGGTACCCTAATCTCAGAATTCCAACCTTCAGAACTGTAAGAAATAAATTTATGTTGTTTATTAGCCACCCAGTCTGTAGTATATTTGTCATAGCAACCCAGACAGACTAAAAGAGATACAATATGGAATGTGTTTGGCAAGAAAATTAAAGACATCAAAATTGATAACTGTGACTATTAAAATCTCATAGAGAAATCCAAAATTTTGAAGAAGCTGAATATAAGTGGCTACTGATATAGATGATCAGCAGACAGAAATGCAAAATTGAATCTTAAAGAAATACCAGGGATGGGACTATGGCTTTGGAAGTCATCCTCATAAAAAGGAAACTGAAATAATACAGATTGAGATCCCAGTGAGAGAGAAGATCAGGATCCAAGGGCTGAAAATAAAGACCCAGAACATGCCCACATTTGGAGGAGTGAGAAACAAGAACCCAGAGGGTCTGCCCTGAGTTTATGATCAGGTATTTACTTGATAATGTTATTCAATATACTTAGGTGAATTTATTTTCTGAGTTCAAGAAATTTCATAAAAGATCTGAAGTGTGCATTTATCAGTCTAATCAAGCTTTTTGATATTCTAAGATACTAAATATTTAAAATCATGTGATACTATTTAAAAGTAGCTGATTGTTTCAGTCTAAAAATATGGTGAGCTGAAACAGAATCTTCAATAATGATGTAGCTATGGTTGATGTATTTATCCATTGAAAGGAGTGTCAAAAACCAATACTCCCCCGAGCAAGGGAATAGCCAAGTTTGTTTTGGTTTCCAATGAATGACATTAGCCCAGTGTAGGTCTCAATCAAAATGGGTTCAGTGAGCACTGTCAATCCCTCTCCTCTTCCAGATCCAGTGGAATTCTTGTGGGTGTTCTGGATAGCTGGAACAAGCTTCGACGTGAACCCAGACAACTGAAGAGGAAAAGAAGACACAGAATTAGTGAGTGCAAAGTAGGCCCAGAGACACGCCCTCCCCACCAGTCTTCACAAAAGTTGACTACTCTCCTGGAACTGCACTTATTCTTACTACTTAAACAGAAATCATTTCTTGGAATTGTTAATATTGCTTCCGTTAGTCTTTTAATAGATCGATCTGTTAATAAATTTTGTACATAATAAAATTAACTGCTGCATCTTATTTATTTTTCATTATTGATAGCTTGTACAACATTAAGAAGTCGGTTTAACAAATATTTGCTGATAGTCTAGTTTGGATCAGATACCTGTCATGTACTACTGAAAATTCAGACAAGTCAGATATAGCCTCTGCCCTCACAGCGTGTTAGTGCCAAGTCACTTCAGTTGTGTCCGACTCTTTGTGACCCTGTGGACTGTAGCCCTCCAGGCTTCTCTGCCCATGGGATTCTCCAGGCAAGAATGCTGGAGTGGGTTGCCATGCCCTCCTCCAGGAGATCTTCTTGACCCAGGGATCGAAACTGCGACTCTCACATCTCCTACATTGGCAGCTGGGTTCTTTCTTTTTTGCCACTTTACCTATTTTTTAATTGAAGGATAATTGCTTTATAGAATTTTGTTGTTTTCTGTAAAACATCAACAAGAATCAGCCATGTCAGTACAGCCATTGCTGATCTCTCCCAAACCCCCCTCTCTTTCCCCTCCCCACCCCACCCTTCTGGATAGTCACTCTCTTTCCCCTCCCCATCCCACCTTTCTGGATAGTCACTCTCTTTCCCCTCNGAACAGCACCCTACTCCAGTATTCTTGCCTGGAAAAGCTCATGGACACAGGAGCCCGGCAGGCTAGAGTCGGACATGACTGAGCAACTAACACTTTCACCAAGACTCTGTGATGGCTCTCCATGTCAACTCAGAGTAAAAGCTGAAGTCCCTCCAGTGGCTGAAAAGAACCGACCTGCCCTGGCTCCCAGCAGTTAACCTCCCCTTTCTTCACTCTACGGCTTCCCTGACAGCTCAGCTGGTAAAGAATCTGCCTGCAGTGCAAGAGACCCCGGTTCAATTCCTGGGCTGGAAAGAGCTGCAGCAGAAGGGATAGGCTACCCACTCCAATATTCATGGACTTCCCTGGTGGCTCAGATGGTAAGAAATCTGTCTGCAATACAGGAGTCCTGGGTTCGATTACTGGGCTGGGAAGATCCCCTGGAGGAGGGCATGGCAACCCACTCCAGTATTCTTACCTGGACAGAGGAACCTGGAGGGTTACAGTCCACAGGGTCGCAAAGAGTTGGATGTGACTGAAGCGACTTAGCACGACACAGCACAGCACAAAAGGGACAAAAAATAGGAAAGAAAGAAAAACCATGCAAAAAAACTTCTGTGATTTACTTGTTCTGTGACCTTATCATAAATTCACTTCTCCTTTATGAACCTCAACTTACTCTTTTGAAAAGAGGCATTGAAATCTATGGTGTGGGGCTAATTTTGTTTAGTCACTAAGTCATGTCTGACACTGTGACCCCGTGGACTGCAGCACGCCAGGCTTCCCTGTCCTTCACTGTCTCCCACAGTTTGCTCAAATTCATGTCCCCTGAATTGTTGAGGCTATCTAACCTACTCATCCTCTGATTCGCACCCATCTCCTTTTGTATTCAATTTTTCCCAGCATCAGGGTCTTTTCCAACTCTTCACATCAGGTGGCCAAAGTATTGGAACTTCCGAAACTCAGAAGTTAAAAAAATGGTGACTTTATGATAAACAACATAAAGTTTGCTAGAGTGCATTGATATCTGTGGGTTTTCAGTAAAGTAATAGTTACCTAATTAGATAATGTCAAACCTTAATTTAAACTCACTTCACTGACTAAAGAATCTAATAGATAAGCAGGGTTTTGCTTGTTTACCAAGAGTTTCAGGCTATAGTAACAAAGACAGACAGAAGTTACCTCTTATTATTACTCCCAGCACCCTCTTTAAGACCTTAGAATGGATCTAAATATTACTTGCTAGTGAATGAAATGAACTATAGTCATATAGCCTGGAAATTCTGGAAAGGAGGACATCATTCCTCACAGAACACTCCACCAGTGCTTTAGCGACTGGATAAGAAAAGCCAAATGGGAAGAATAAATTAAATTCAATAACAGGAGTATTTAATTTAATTGCTATGTTTAAAATCACAAAGTAACTAAGGTCAGAAGTCAAATGTGCAGATTCCAATCATTCATCTATTGTTTTATTTGCCTTGCCTCATACTCTCTAAGAAGCCACATTCCTATACGTGGACATACCCACCTCACAGCAATGTAACCATGTCTTCTCCATCACTGTGTATAGTGGGGGGAAAAAGTATGTTTCCTTGCCCAAAACTAATGGTTAGATTCTAGAAGAATCATTTAATCTCCCTGGATTTTAGTTTATGTATCTGAAAATGGGAAAATAATAATGATGGTAAATACCAACTTCATCAGACTATTGTATGAATCCCAGTGAATTGCTCAAAAATATTTTATAGCATAGTATTTATAGATGTAAATATTATCAGAGGCAAGAAAGAGTTTAGATTCCTTAGTCCTACTCCTTTCAATTCCAGACTTTGAATGCCAATTTCCTTTATATAAATCATAGACTTGAGAAAGTATTTTTTTTTTAATTTTGTGATATGTCCTATTTTAAAGTAATAAAAGTTCCCTGGAGGCCAAAGGATATATATTCAATTCTATTCAGAAACCATGACTTCAAAAGACATGGATTGAGCATCAAAGTATCTCTTCCAAGGTATTTATCAATTATAAAGGAAAAATACTAACTTTACAAAGGAGCAATCTGGCATACACCATCTTAGACAAGTAATTAAGGTTAACATCTGTAACAAGGCATACAGGCACAGTGAACCTGCAATATGATGCAGTGAAAGGACACAGCATCACTTCTGCAGTATTTGTGCCCTTAAAAAAGCAGACTTCAATCTAATCATGAGCAAACATCAGCCAAACCCACCAAGAGAACATTCTATCAAAAGCCCTGAGGTCATAGAGAAAAAAGAAAAAGGAAAGACTGAGAGACTGTCACAGTTTGGCGGAGAATAAAGAAACAGAATAATTAAATATAACAAGGAATCTTGGATTGAATCCTGGAGCAGGCAGAAGACATTAGGAAAAACAAAACAAAAAACTGATGAAATTTGGATAAGGTCTGTATTTTAGTTAATAGTACTATGAAAGTGAAAGTGTTAGTCACTCAGTCGTGTCTGACTCTGTGACCATGAACTGTTGCCTTCCAGGCTTCTCTGTCTGTAGGATTCTCCAGGCAAGAATAGTAAACTGGGTTGCCATTTCCTTCTCCAGGGGATGTTCCTAACCCAGGGATAAAACCTGGGTCTCATGCATTACAGGCAGTCTCTTTACCATCTGAGCCACCAAGGAAGCCCTGCTATAGTACAGTATTGTAGTGATGTTTTATTTCTAGGTTTTGATACCTGTATTATAGTTATGGATATTTCTAGAAGAGTTTGAATGAAATTCTAATATTTAGGAAAGAATTCATGTTCTTAATTTTCCAAAGGGATATAGAAAAAAATCAGGCTCGATACTTTTTGAAACTTGTTTCTTAGAACACTACATTTCCTTATAGGTTGGGTGACCATATCATACACTATCCAAATCAGGATTCTTCTGAAAAGCAAGAAAATGCTATTATTAATAGTATTTTAAAAAATGCATGCCTGAAGATTTAGGGAAAAGTTAGGGAAGAAAAACTACAATCACATCAATCTCAGCTGCTTTATTTTTATCAGTTTTATATATTTGGGTTCTGAGAAGGTTTTCTTTTTAGAAAACTTTTCCTTTAAAAAATAAAAAATCCACTGTATTAAGCTTGCCTAAGAAACTCTCTGATAGTCTGTTCAGTCCACAAAGAGTTAAAATGCCCATGCTCTTATTCATCTTTCACAACCAAGCTCAAATCCTTTCTCTTCCACAATGCCTTCCCAAATAGTACATTTCATATACACATCTCAAACATTTCATCCAGTTTTCTGAGAATCAGAGTCACAAGTATGGCTATTCATCTATACAACTAATCTAATATTTCTCTACCTTGGAATTATTGCTATTTGGGGCTAGGAAATTATTTTCAGGAGGGGAGTATATCCTCCAGATTTTAGAAAGCTAAGCAATAGCACCTCAACCCCAGGTGTGGCAACCAAAAATGTGGTCCACATATTACCAATATCCCCCAGGGATAAAGTCATCTCCTGCTGAGAACCACTGAACTAAATGAAGAATAGAACATGATATATCATGAGTATTCAGATCAAACAGATCTGGTCTTACATTGCTAATATGGTTCTCACTAGCTGTGTGATCTTGGGCAAATCTAACCTCTCTGAATTTTATAGCTCCTCTTCTATAAAATAAGGATATTAATAGCATCAAATTCATAAGTTGTCTACAAAGATCTAACTAACTTTAATAAATAAGGATTTGTAAAAGCTCTATGCACATGTGCCCACCTGCTAATGTCTTCCAGGAAGGTGTGGGGAAGGATATAAGATTAAGCTGGAACTTGGAGTCATATTGCAAAGGCATTAAAGGAAGCCTATTGCCAATAATCAATATTGTCAATAAATAATTAACTATGTCATCATTGAATTATGATTTCCTAAAGTCCAAAGCTCAGTTCACCTCAACTTTGCCATGGGCAACACCTTCTTGGTTGTCAGGATGCCTTTTCACAGATTTTATATATATATATATATATATATATATACATATATATATGTACATTGTATATATGTACAGATTGGGTTACAGAATGCCTCCCCAGTCCTCATCGTAAGTTTTATTTCATGAGAATTCTCTGTGGCTTCAGAATCAAAAGGCTAGAAAGAAAAAGTTGACATTACTTTACATTCAGTGAAGTTGGCATTTCACTCGAGTCAGATGCCCTTCATTTCTAGTCATTTCTGTGAGCCCTTTAAGAAGAAGATGGGCCGTGA